TCAAGGAAAGGGATATTGAGGTGGAGGTTGCGGAGCATTTCCATGAACCCTCCACATTCGTTCTCCAACCTCTCCTTGTACATCCTTGTGGGATAAGGAAGATGTGGTGTGTATCCATCCTCCGCCAATGCCTTCCTTGCCGCCTTTCTCTCATTCCTAGAGGGCTTCCCTTCTCCCTTCTTTGGGTTGGTCTCTTCCTTGTTAGTATCTTCCTTCTCCATCACTTCATTAGTGGCGACTTCCGGAACCACCTTCACAATCCTCACTTGAAGTGCATTTACCCCGGCATGGTCCTTGGGGTTCACCACGGTTTGGGAATGTAAAGCTCCATTGGGTCTCACGATGAGGATGCCGGCAAGGTTGCCGATTTGCACCTCAAGCTTTGGAGGCTCGCTTGATGGCTTCGGAGACCCGCCTCAATCGAGGTAAACTTGGTAGTCTCCACATCCATAAATTTCTCTATCTTCTCGAACTTTTGGCTACTCGTACTCACGAAGGTATCCACTAGGTCTTCAAGCTTAGATAGCTTGTTGGGTTGTTGTTGAAACCCTTGGCCACCTTGTGCTTGGTACGGTTGTTGGAAACTTGAGCCTTGAATTTGAGGCCTTTGTTGGATGAAGGTCGGTCGAGGTTGTAAATTTCCCGTGGGGCCTTGAAAACCCGGGGGCCTCGGATTTGTCGGCGATGCCCAAGCAAAGTTGGGGGTGGTTCCTCCATCCAGGGTTATAAGTATTGCTATACAGGTTGTTGACCCTAGCATTTGTCACAAAGTTGACTTGCTCCTCTGGAGTGGTAGCCTCCTTCATTGATTGACACTCCGCCATCTCATGACTGGTGCTCGAGCACCAGTCACACGACATCACCAACCTTTTTCCTTGCCTCTTATCTTCTAGCATAACCTCAAGCAACTTATCCAACTTCGCCTCCAGCGGAGCACTCGCCCCCACGCTTCTCACTCCCCTTTCATTGCTTCTTCTTCCACTTCTAGTCAACCCCCAATCATATCCCCTAAGGGCCATGTCTTCAAGTATCTCGGTTATTTGGGGTGGAGCCATATTCATCAATTTCCCTTGACACAAGGAGGCAATGATAATTTTATCTTCTTGTATTAGGCATCCGTAGAAGGTTTCGATCTGAAACTGTTCTTCAAACTCGTGGTGAGGGCACTGAAGAAAGTAATCGGAGTACCTCTCCGAAGCATCCCTCAAGGTCTCGTCCTCTTCTTGCTCGAAATGGGTAATCTTCTTTCTCTACTCCACCGTCTTCGAAGGCGGGCAATAACGAGCCATAAACTTGTTTAGGAGGTCGTCCCATGAGGTGATTGACCGAGGTGGGCGGTTGTTTAGCCACCTAATTGCTTTCCTCGAGAGTGAGTATGGGAAAAGCCTTAGTTGCAAAGCTTCGGTCGGCACACCATTTATTTTCAAGCTCCTCGCGAGCTCCAAGAATCTCTGCACGTGCTCTCTTGGTGACTCGCTTTCAATGCCGTGGAATATAGCATTACTTTGTAGCAACAAAGTTTTGGTTTAAAAGTTTGCTAATTATAACAAAATAGGGCAAAGGTAAATGGTTTTGAAACTCTTTTGTGGAAGGATTACTCGGGTGTCGCTTCTCCCTAACCACTACCATGATATGTGAATTGGGACGATTGCTTTGGGAAAGGTAACCACGAACTGCAGAGGGATGCATATATGGTCGGAGACCACAATCCTAATTGCTAAACCGAGGTGAACAATATAAGCCGTGTCACTCGACCCTCTCGGTTTAGGCAATCGGTAGTTGACTTACTCACTCATCTTAATGGTCGGATGGCTCAATCGCGATTATCCGATTTTCTTAATTCAACAATGAGGGTTGCCCTAAATTAACCTAGTTAGGTGGCTTAAAAAGCTGAAGGAAAACCAACTCGATTGAGTCTCCCTTGGAAGGGGGGATTTTCCTCTCTAAGCTAGGTTAAGGTGACTAATTAGATTGCTAGCACCAACATGCACAAACCTAAGGGTGCTAAGCATAATTAAGCACAATCCTTAGGTTGCTAAGCACCGAAATGCACAAACCTAAGGATGCTAAGCACAAAACATGCACAACCCCTAGGTGCTAAGCACAAGCATGCACAATCAACATGAATAATACCTCAATCATTGAATTAACCAATACCCAATGACAATCATTCAATTCACATCAAAGAAGCTATATGGTAAAGTTAGGGTTTCACAACACCCAAGTGAAAGGAGATCTACTCCATGCTAGAAATGGGAAAAACACAAAGAGAAGAGGTGGAAACCATCTTGGAGGATGCTCCCAATCTTCTTGGCCCTTGTGTTGAACTTTCCTTGGAGGAAATCTTCCCACAATCCACCTTGAAGCAAAACCCTAGCCTTCTTCACCTTTGGTTTGTGTTTCTCTCTCTAGAAATAAGAAGAAGGCTTTTCAGACAAAGTGGGCTCTCCCTTCTCTTCTCCTTTTAGCTCATCTTTTAAACCAGAGACGAGCTCAGTTCACGGCCTGAGTTCACGGTCATGAACCATGTAAAGCGTCCGTGAACTGCAGGCTTACGCCAAAACGCACCGCTTCGTTCACTTCTGTCACGGTCAACAGCCTCCGTTCACGGTCTTAGTGACCGTGAACTCACATTGCGTCAGTAACCTCTGTTTTGGCTCTGGACACCTCGAAGACACGGTCAATGGCTCTTCTTCACAGTCGTGCAAGACCGTGAACTTCCTGGGATAGCCGTGAACTGGCCCTTTTTCACCTCTTCTCCCGGTTTTCGATCCTTTTTGTCCAATTTTCGACTCCGAGGCTAGTTTCACTTGTTAAACCCTGAAACGCGCTAAAACACGAGAAAGCTAGCGTAAAACCAACCCTTTAGGAGTGAATTTGCCACAAACACCTAAGTAAAACGGGGGAAAACATGTACAATTAGGCCCGAATCAGCCTTGTTTCTTTGATCTGTACTGATTCTCCAAAGATGTCCATATCTCAGTAGGGGTGGCCAATTGGGAGTATAGATCATAAAGGCGGCCAAATAGCGAATTGAGGATGTATCCTCTGCACAGCAGGATGTCATCATTCCTCTTTTTGCGTTCAGCCTTCAATCCATCAGAATCAGTGTCTTTTGGGTCTTCCAGCAGCACCAAGATAGGATCGAGTATGTACACGTTCTTCAAAGCAGTCAACAAAAACTTCATCTTTTCTTGCTAGCGGGTGAAATTGGTTCCATCAAACCGATTGAGTTTGTTGGAATCAGAAGCAATACGTCTTGAAGGTATTCTTCACTCCATAATCCATTGTCTCACGAAAATAACACTCTAAGATTGTCAGGAAACCATATGGAGAAAATGAATTGAAGGCATGATTAATCACTCTCCTTATAGTGTTATTTGCCCCCACTACAAAATTGTTGGTAGGAATTAAGCCAATCACCCCCGGGAGTCCCTTCAATTAAAGTTCGATAGCAGCAATCTTTCTGGACTTCTGTGTTTGTGTTTTTGAGAAGGAAAACGGGAAGAAGATGAACGTTAGGAAAACAAAATTCTGGCCAACGTCTTTTATTGTGAGAAAAACGTCAGTTCCCTTCTCCTTGTCAAGGGTTACGTCTTTTCACAAAAATCAAACTTAATTAATTATCGAAATTAATTAAATAGTCAAAGATTTAATTCCGAATGCGTCGCTTAAACGTTCTAAGTGCGTAGTGTGATTTAATATGTCAAATTAAATTGCACACATTTTTTCCAAAACCCACTTATTACTTTATTCAATAAAATAAAGTAGGAAGTTAGGCTATAAACCACTTGCACTTCCTTTCTCCCACCAATGTGGTATTTTCCTTATTGTTGACTACTCTAACAAACTCTCCCAACACCCATATCTTCATTACATCATTAAGCAACAGGCTGCACCAAGCAAACAAGCTGCTACAGCCAATATCTCACCACCCAAAACCCATATTTGATCTCATGTTCTGAAGTTCATCTTAAAAAAGAAGGAAACACTCAAACACATTGGCAATCAGCCTGGAAAATCGATTATAAAGAAAGGATAAAGTAAATCTTTATACCTTTCCACTGATTCTTCCCAAACTGTCAATGATCTAGGTAGAATGGTGCTTTCAGCATCATAAAAAGACACTTGAAAAACTTGTTAGCCAGTCTCTCACTGGTATGAGGGGCATTAACATACAAAAATTTCAACATTATGTTTCTAAGCTTCCAAGCATTGTTAATAAAATGGCCAATCATTGTCATATAACCCCTTTTTTGGTTTTATGCAGTCCACATATCAGTGGTCACTTACACACTGTTATTCTACCAAGATTACCATCAATAACCTTCTGAAATTTATCCCTTTCAACCCCATACAGTCCCAATATATCCTTCTTCAGAGTATTTCTACAAGACACAGTAAACTGGGGTTGCAAAGAACCACAGAAATGCATAAACCCCAAGTGTTCCAACCATTCTAAGAGGATACTCATGGATAATAATCATAGAACACAACTCCTTCCTAGACACATCAGAATTGAACTGACTAGCAGATACAGGAGTTTTCCAGTTGATTTATAATTAGGGCCAAGAACTCTCTGTCTACCATCATGTATCTTTCTTTAGGTACATGTTTTGTAATGACTCCTCAGGTGGAAGGTTTTCGACAGTACTTACACCTAGCTTTAATAACTCCATTCAACTTCACCCAATGAAATGATGCCAGACATCATAAGTCAATTTTCGATCTTCCTCAAGAATTACTTCACCAATTTTTTCCATTATGAAAATCAGCATTATGATTACCCAGATTACCATTCACATTACATTACCATCAGGACCAACATTTTCAGGTTGGTTTTTTTTATTAGTAGGCACAGGAGAAGCATTCAGATTCACAACATCATTTGGGTTGTCCATCTAACATGAGCAAGAGTACAATAATCAGAGACCTAACACATGCAATCTACACAACCCTTAAGTCCAAACACATACAACCTGGAGTTTAGCTATGCTAACCTGTAATTTGGAGGAGGAGGCTCTATTGACCAGATTGCAGATGTTAAACCGATGCCTGATGCAAACCTAATGGACTCCAACAAAGTCACAAACAAACAAACAAAAACATTAGAATTCCTTAAATGATAAAGATCTAGCTAATGTATTAGGAAAAATGAACTTTGCTTTGCGTAGTGTTTACCTTGTCTGTGCTCTGTGCAAAATGCATATGATGAAGAACAAAAGAACTGAGACTGTCCAGTCACTGCTAAAATCAATCGACGAGGTTAATTTATAAGGGAAAGAAGAATTTGAGACTAAGAATATTAGGAAAAGGAAAGAACTTATCCCAGTGTGTGGATTATCGCGGACTTTTCCAAATCAATGCAAATCAAAGATTGGAACAGTCATTTTAGGGTTTTGCATGGTGTGAAACTAGCCTTAGATTGGACGATTTTGCATGATAATGATGGCCTAGAAGGCTGAAATGAGCCAATTTTGTGGAGAATCAGCAAAAAATCTTAAATAAGAGAGAATTTCTCTTAGAGAAGTGAATGCGTGGAGAGAAAGGTAAGAAGAGGAAGCAGTAATGGGAAAGGGGGAAAGGGCAGGGAATTAGGGTTTTAGTCCCCGCGGAGGCTTCTGCTACCTTGTATATCAGTGGCCAAAACAACGTTGTTTTGGAACGGGACGAGGACGGGGCGAATTTCCCGAATCCGTCACCACCCATGATCCGCTGCGCTCGGGTCTCGGGCATACTCGAATCCGCCATTTCCCCATCTCGTCCGGGTAAATTGGTCACCATCTGGATAAGTTTCGGGTGGGTACCCGCATTCCCGGTGCAAAATGTCATCCCTACTTCATTATTGAGAACAAACCTAGCACATTATTTTCTTTACTGAAGCGCCGATGTCGTGGCATGGAGTGACATCAAGTTTGAGACCATGGGTGCCCAACCTCAAGTTTCAGAAGGCACCCTTGTTCAAATGAAAGATAATCGATTGAAAATAGGAAACTAGAAGCCATTCGAATTTGAACCATCAGATGTGACTGACTCAAAAATTAAGGGATGATATATAGTTCTCCCCTAGCCGAATTGGAATTGGTACCCCTATCCTTGAGCGCAATTGGGGAATCCGCATTTTCTCACTTTTCCTTTTATCCCATAGAACTTATGGCAATTTGAACAATGCCTCTACGCGTGTTATCTAACCTTATTCGTGATGAGAAGGGTAATACCCAATCCACAATAGCGTGGACAATATGGACACTACTTTTATCCTGTTCTGTCAATCCCACTTCATTCTTGACCCATTTCACCTTGATTTGTATTAGCTTAATTTTCAATTTATATATAAGAATTGATCAACCTGTTCCAACTCGTAATTGGGTGGGTATTATCCAACCTGACCCGTACTTGGTGCAAACAGATATGGATATTGAAGTACCCAAGTACAAACAGATATGGATATTGAAGTACCCGCCCATTACTATCACCATCACTACTCTAGACCACATAAAACGTACAACAACGTTGGCATAAAAAACCATGTGGTTGCAGTAATTGCATTAAAAAAAAAAAGTAAAGAACATGGACTACATAACTAGGATGTAACATTTGGCTTTTTTTATGTGAGGATGTAACATTTGGCTAAGGTCATATGTGCGCTGGAATTTGGATTTCGATGCAAAACCTCCCAAAACAAAAGGGCAGGTTGGAATAAAAATCCCCTCTTACTAACTCTTGGAAATCCCTACTCCCTGAGAAAAACAGTATAAACCAGACGCCAACATACGAAAACCTGAGGACTATTTGAATACACTCTTGCCAATTTACACGTCCATGAAGGCATAAAGCACTCCAACTATCTGTATCCGAACCCCATGTGCTCATGACCAAACGGCCCTTGACCATGCCCAACTGCAGCCAAAGGGTGAACCTGCTTCGGCTTCAGCCTGAGTTCCATCTCAATTAACTTCTGCAGTGCCTCTGGACGATTGGTTCCACTGTCGACGCCTGGAGCTGATCACAGTAGGAACATGCGTCAAGATGTGTTGCATAAAGTAGCCATCATATGATACAACAATCAGTAAAACAACACCTCTCTAACATGTTTCAGCTGTTGACTAAAGAGAACCCTAAAAATATAGCACGCTTCATGTGCATTACAAAGGAAATTAACCGCTAGGTACCTATATAGGCATCTCTATTATCTGCGACCACATCTAATCATTTCAATGCATCAACTAAGGCAACAAAGTCGGAGAAAATGTCATGCTTTCTGCACCAAATATGAGCTCATGAAATTTGAGAAAGGGTTCCCTGTAACAGCTATGTTATAAGAACCATCTCTTTCAGTGACAAACTGAAAGACAGTTTCTGCTATCAACTTGAAAAACAATAGCAACGACTAGAAGGCCAAAGATGACAGAAAATAACACAGGAAAGACTCACCATGAGATGGAATCGCGACAGCACCTAAGTTGGTCGGCCTCTGGCCAAAGGGGAAGTTTTGCATTGGATTCGCATCCGGTATAAAACCTGGCATCTGGTTGTTAAGATGTGGAACAGCAGGAGCACCCGTAGGAAATCCACGTGAGATATGAGGAAAATTGTCAGTCATATGCATCTGTTGCAGCAATGCATTCTGAGGGCTAGGATCAAACCCAGTAAGTGTGCTGCCGCCATTAAGATGATGGAACATATTCCCATGATAGTGATTACTAGGAGCATGACGATGAATGACATTCTCTGGGGAAATGAATCTCATCTGAGCATTGATTTTAGGGGAATGAGAATCCAATGAGTGAAACATTAACTCAGCATTATTGATTTGAGACGGATTAAGCTGATGTGGAGATGGACGTACCCGAATATTTTGATACTGAACTTCCTGTTCCCTCGCCTCATAAGGATTGCGACCAAAAGGTGGACCACCTTGGTCTCCTATGAGAGACCTCTCATCTCGGAACGAACTTAAAGCTGCAAGCTTTTCAGCAATGTCAACTGTCATCTCTTGTGTACCCAGCACTTCAATCTTATCCGACGTGTTCCTAGCATGTACAAGATCATATGCATTCAGAGGGTCACTAACTGCAAGCAGGCTGTCCTCCTCAGGGAGCCCAATCTCAGCACATGATACTTGTCCACCAAGTCTGGAGACCAATTCAGACTGGATCTGTGAAGTATCTACTTTGTTGCTAGAATTTAAGGCTATGAAGTGATCCTCAATCCTATCCGACTTAATTTGGCGAGGCTGGTTTGATGGTGGGACGCCACTTCCCAGGCCTGATATGTTGGATGTCATTCCTAAAGTTGACAGAAGTAGACCACCATCACCTTCAAGGTAAGGACTATGGAACTGAGGAATATCAAGTTTTGCAATACCAGCCTTGGCGGGTTGGCTTGCAGTTGGTACTCCTACTGGCTGCAGTTCTTTCATAAAAGCAGTTCCGAAAAGAGTTTCAAGAGTCAAAGCCTTCCCCAAAGTTACAGAATGTTCAGTATCTGACGAAATAGAGATTCCTGGAAGACCAATACTGGGTTCTTCTATATCCTTTATATTGTCTACAGACTTAGTTCCTAGAATGGCAGAAGGAAATGCATCATCCAAACTTGTGCCCTTCTGCAATAATGAGAGAATGTTCTGGGATGCATGATCATCAGCCTTGGCTTTCAGTTGAAGAGTGGCTTCCAATTTAAGAGTTTTCTGATCCACGACATTCCTCCCACGTTCATTAGCTGACAAAGATGATCCACTTCCAGTAATCCCAGATAGGATCAACTGCTCAAGGTCTTCACATGTAAGTACAGCTGTCACTGGTTCCACTTTATAATCAGAGAACGGTGGAGACTTTTCAGTATCTTTAATAGCAGCAAGCACTGAGCTTGATCTCCTATCTTTGTCAGCAAGTTCACCATGTCGAACCGACAAGTCTGGCAAGATGTGCTGCTTGGCAGTTCTACCATCAGTAGGATGAGACAGCCCTTTTTCACCACCCACGATTAAAGAAAGCAAACTGTTCGGCCCACCAGAAGAGACATCGTCGACTGGATTCTTTTCTGTAAGACTCAATCCAAAACGAAGCTTATAATAATATATAAAAGCAAAATGCCTATTTTATCAAGGGAAAAAAAAACTAACACCAACAGCTGGCAGGAAACCAGGACAGACTCACAGAGACCAAAAGCTGGCATACCTTCTTCAAGAAACCACTGGGCAAACTTGGAAGATTGTACATCAGACGAAATCCATGCCTCCTCCATTTTGGGACCATGTTGCTTTGGAAAGAAAATATTAAAAGAGGCCCATCCTCCCTAAAACAGAATTAGTTCAGATAAAGAAGATAAGCAAAGTGAGAGAACAATTACCTCAACGGAACTAGAAGAATCATCACCATTTGGAGCTAAAGCATTCCCAAAAAGCTGTTCCAGAATTGAGGTGGAGCCAGTTGGGTCAGATCCACCATTGAATTTACCTTTCACCACATCCTCGACACTCAGATCTGTAACTCCACCATTCTTTTGAGTTTCAAAACCTTCTAACAGCTCCAGAGTTTTATAAAATTGAGCATCTTTCCCAATTAGTTTGCTAGAGGCATCCACTGTGGAAGGTAAATCCAGTAACTTTTGCCCTTTGCTACTATTGACTGAAACATTAATACTAAAATTGCCAAGCTCTTGCTCGCTCACATTTAGTGATTCTAGACGCTGCACCTGTTCTTGGTTTTGTGAAGCTCCAAGGAACAAATTGTTCCCTTTGTTGTGTGAGCCTTCAACTTCATTGACTACCTGCCAACCATAAATAACAAAACTATAGAGGTTACACTTACTTAATATCAAGCATTAAACAAGAACGAACTGCAATAATAAATTACCTCCAGGCTCCAGCACTGTGGAAATTCACAAATAAGGCAACAAAAATAAAGCATAGGCCATTATCTGATCTTTGAACAGAACCTGATCTTCTTGAGAGTTACCCAGTTATAAACAAATATCACTCTTCCAAAGATATTTGCATCTACGAGAGTTACCCACACCTGATCTTCTTGGTGATGCCATAGCCAAGGTCCTAGCTACAGGTTATTGCAACTAGAGTCCAAGAAGAATAGAAATAACAGCAACGACGCTTGCGGGCATTTCTAAATAACATTACTCTCCAATTTTGCACAAAAGTGGCCAATACAATTAACGCCCCTTACTTGAAATGCTTAGAGAAAGAAAGCCAACCAAATGCAATTTACTTTCAAGAACACAGATATTAAAAATAAAACAATCTGACAAATTCTCAGATCTCAAAAGAAAAAAAAAACCATTGTGAAAGAAATACCTCCAACTGAGAATTGGTCACCACTTTAGTTCCAGTGCTTTTCTCAGCCGATGCATTTGAAAAACCTGGAGGGACAAGAGGTCTAGATGAAGGAACAGATGATGTGGCAGCTTTATGAGAATTATTACTTGACACTGGCCCGTTCAGTTCATTGCTTCTGTCTTGACTTCTCTTGTTATCACTTGAATCTCCCATCAACGAAGAAAAATTGAAGTCATCTTTACCCTTTCCTGGATTCAACTTCTGCCTTTCATGAAAAGCTTTATGATGTTCCTTCCTCAATAAATCAAAAGAAGCTGGAAAAACCATAAAACAAGGGACTTACTACATTCACATGACAGAGCAACACACAAACATGTCAAAACAAAATGAACCGACCATATCTTGCAGTAAGAGGATCCTAACCTCTTCGTTTTTTTTCCTCTTCTTCTCTGTCTTCGGTTGTGCACTCAGAAGAGCCAAAAGTTTCATCATTAAATGAGTCAGTGATATCCCGGCGAGAGTTAGGAGTAGCCTGAAAAATAGAATTCTCGGTTTTACATCAATTGCGCATAGCAATACATGCATGTTGCTCATCTCTTTGTTAAGGAAATGGCATGAAGTACTTTTCGTTTCTTATAGAAATTGAATGGAGCATATAGAAAACTAAACAAGCTACCAGAATGAGTAGGCAGGACAATAGCATCATTCTGCATACATCCAGATATATGGACAGACACTATACCAAGTCTATCACACATCACCTTGTAAGGGCGAGGGGGATAATATGGTTCGCTAGGCTCTCGGAACGTTGAAGCTGAAGAGCCCACTGCCAACCCAGAAGGCCGTGTGAATGAGCCACTTCCAAGAAGCCCATCATGCTCAGGAACCTGCCAAGGTCGTCGAGACTGGTTGGCATAACGTCCTCCAGTATCTACATATTAAAATTACAAATTGGTCAAAAAAACACTACTCTAAATGAAACAACAATTGGAAAATGTGTGAAAATTACACGCATTCTATTTTCCTTAACCAAGCACTTATAGCGAGAAACCACAACAAGCATTCTAGTTTCCATCAAAATAGACAGCAAACTATCCTAACCTGATTCCTTTTCAGATTGTGAAACACTGTCACGATCACTTCTAACTGATGAGCGACTATCCCATCTTCCCTGAATCCCACGAGGAAAATTACTTGTGTCCCCTCTGGTTGGTGGGGACGAACCATATTCTGTTCGCTTATAACTTTGTGATGAGAAACCACCAGATGCTCTAAACCGATCTTGTGAAGTGTCCTCAAATTCACTGAGAAGAAAGTATTCAGCAGGAAAATGTGGCGGATGAGACCTCCAACTTGTAAGGAGTGAATTAAAACTCTTCTTTATAGCATGTAATATGAGTATATGACATCCTGATTTACAGAATATCAAGAACCACGCTCATGCTACTGATATATAACTTACCTTAAAAGTGATTGGTCAAATCCACTTGGAAGCCGCTTGCAAACATCCAAGTTACTAAGAGAGAGTAGAAATTCTCTAGTGTACAACAATCTTGACCTTCTGGACCATAAAAACCCATTTGAATTTGAAGTCAGACCACGACGCTGAGTTATGGAATCAATTGAGAGAATCGAAGAGAAACAGAGGATGCCATGGAGAGAGTTCATTACTTTTGAGATTCTGTGCATGCCTCATGCAGATTCAGGCCATTTAGTTTTTCATTCGCTATACTCATGGCGCTCAATTCAGTTATTGAAGCAACACCAGTCGACAGGGAGTTCTTCTAAACCTCACAACCAACTGCTAACCAAGTGTGATCTTGAATAAAACAATCAGACGCATCTCAAGCCCAGATGTAGCGTCAAGATTATCCTTCCAAGTCAACACAATCACTTCCATCTCCATTCTGAAAACAGCATGTCTAACTAACACTGTCCTCAAGACAGCTCTAAGTCAAATTATTTACAATTGAAGCGTCAACTTCGCTCAATCACCGGCAATCGGATTCGAAAGGGGGGAAAAGAGTATCAGCTTCCCTGATTTAAAGATGCCAAATCCGAGCTGACCTCAGGAAAATCCCATCCTCTGATCCATCCGAATCGTTAGCAATTCTCGATACAAATAAAACCTATCTACAAAACACCTTAATCCTCACGAGGATATGGCCATCGGGTATTGCACAAAAGGACTGAAGCTCCAAATGCAGATATATACAAACAATCACTAGTTCTCATCGATGAAACACGAATCTGGCTTCCTACGCCATCCAAGTCGCTCGATTATCATCAGAAATTTACCTAATTCCGGGTGTTAGAGAAGTGGGGAAAACGGGAAGTATAAGACGAGAGATCAAAAGGAAAAAAATTCCTAGGGTTTTTGTGATAATTTGCAAAACTCGAGGAACTAGGGTTTCATTTGCAGTCACGACCGTTGCGAAGGAGCAGCATAGATTAGATACCAAGAGACTGAATAATAGGGTTTCGATATCCAACCTCGGAAGCTCCTTTTTCTGGATCGAAGAGAGAGCGATGAGCAGGGAAATGCAGAAATAACAAATGCACTTTTTTGTAGCGACTTCCCCACCGCCGAAAATGGCCCGTGGTTTGGACGCTGTTATCTAATTGGAAGTTTCCTTTAATTCTTTTTGTTTTTTGTTTTTCGTTTTTTTTTATGTTTTGACAAATAGTGTAACACCCATGACACATTTACCAAAATGCCCTTGAGAATCAAAATAAAACATTTGTCTTGAAAAATAATAAACAACGAAAATTCATCCATAACCAAAATCCGAATCTCAAACAGAGATAATCCTTGTCAATTCAACACAAATGAGCATCTGTCTCGAGTCTACTAATAAGGAATTCATAAGTAAAAGGAGTTCTTGTAAAGCTTTCCCGGTCACTAACCCTTCTGACGACATCCTGAGCAGCAATGGTGTCACAGCGGTTCGTCTACGCGTTCCTGCTCTCTAGTAACTCCTGGGTGTGGGTGTGGGGTCAGTCCTAGGTGCAACTTATCTTAACAATAATAGCTACTCAACAACTTAAAAAGAAATAAATACGTGAACATGCATGATTAAGTAATTTCATTAACTTGCTTAGAGGGGACCCCGTGCTCAGCCTAACCAGCGCAACTGACCGACCACCTGAACGCGACATGACATGGACTTCCATCACGGTGGGAGGTGAGGTACGTGGTAAACATGGACCTCCTTCACTATGGGAGGTGAGGTAACCACGCGCTAGCTGGGCGACCGGCCGGTACCTAAACGTGAACATGAACTCCTTTTCTAAAGGAGTTGGTACATACATGGACTTCCTCACCCTGGGAAGTGAGGTGACTGCGTGCATAGCTAGTTAGGTGAGTTTCTAAAACGTGTTCTTGCTTACTTAACGTGATACATGCACTTGTCTATTTGAAATTATAACTTGAAACTTAAACGTAGAAAGCCAATAAGACATACATAACCGAATGCATAAAGTAACATGACATAACTTGAACATTAAGTCTAGCCCCTTTTAACCACGCACCTTAATAGATTAGGTCGTTTGACAACTAATAATGGTGCTACCAAAGTCGACCCGCCCGTAAACCTATGGCGGAAAAAATCGGAGTTCAGATGGCGGGATTTTCGGATTCTAGCGACGGCTTCCATGACTTGGGACTACCTCGCAATTATTGCGAGGTAAGGGCTTGCTAATCCATTATTAATTGATTTGTAAATTTTTCTAATATCTTGAACATATTATTGAATTTTACTATCCAATTAAGTCCTTTTTAAGAAGCTTGATAAATAAGGATTTAAAATATGCTAACTTCTAAAATATATATAAAGAATTTCGTTTAACGTATTAACTAACTAGTAGCGTATTTATAATTTATCTATCATAAATTAAAAAATATTAACCTAACAATCAATCACAAACTCCATGTACATACGTATCCATGGTTTCCAGCCTTGAATTAGTAATTCATATTATTTAGTCTATGAAAAAAATCGATTCGATAAAATAACAACTTTGGGCCGTTTCTAGTAAAATACTGAAGTTCAGGGACCTAACCATTCTCATTCAAATCTGGAAGGACTAATCTGGGAATTTCCTGCAGCCTTTAGCGACGGTACAGATTTTCGTCACCAAAGAACTGCAGAACCGTCGCTAAAACACAAAACAAGCAAAAACTCGATAAATCCATACATGGTCCATGTTAAACGTTGGGAATTCGATCCCTTACCTTTAACAATAGCCCAGAGAAGGATTTGAGGATCCTAGGACGTCGATTCTTCGTCGTCGATCGTCGTTGAGCCCCCGCAACCTCGCCGTCAAAGCTACGGTTCATGAACACGAGTTCGTTTAATTTAATGATTCGTTCAAGCTAAGAGGGACCGAGTTTAAGCTCCTTACCCCCGTCAATGCAAGCAAAAGCCTGGAGTCGAGGTGGTCGTGCGAAGAGGAGGGTTCGGCGTCCGGCGTCCACGTTCTTTCCGTCGCCGAGTCGGAACTAAAACGTAGCCATGAGTTGATCAGATATAGAGCTCGACCCGAGAAGAAAATGAAGGTTAGCGCCGCGATCCTTACCTCTTGGGATGCGACTGAACGAACTGGAAATAGAGGTTTGGGTGGCCGGAGGAGCTACGGCACGGAGGAGCTATGACGCGGAGGAGAGTGACGAGCGACGGTGATGCTGAGGCTGAACTACCGCCTCTGTCTGTTGCTGGCCTCGCTATGGCGGCTAGCCTAGGTCGCTGCAGGTGGTGGATTACTCGTGGTTACCCCTACTCGTCGGCGGCTTTGGTGATCGGTCTCGCAAGAAGGCTGCGACTGCTTCTTTCTTCCGGGAAATTGGGGTTTTAATTTTTTGGTGTTGTTTAAAGGGAAGAGGTGCATCTGGGGAGTTTAGCTTAGGTTTTAATCGAGCATAGGGGTAATTTTGGCAATTTCATCAAATTTTGGGTTCGGGTGTGATATTTCCCTCCCCCTTAAGAAAATTTCATCCTCGAAATTGAGCCTTAAAAGAAATTATGAAGGTCTGTGAGTCTCTACTCTTATTATCGCCGATATCGTAAACATGCTAACGAAATCTATCGATTACAAGGGTATATCAAGGAACAACTCTGGGTATTTCTTCCTCATATCCTCCTCGATCTCCCATGTGGCTGCTTCTGTACCTTGATTCCTCCACACCACCTTCACCATAGGGACCTTCTTTCTTCGTAGTTCCTTATCATGGTGGTCAATAATCGCCAATAGTTCCTCCGTGTAGGTCATATCACTATCTAGTTGGATATCCTCCAACCTAACAATGTGTGTGGGATCTGATCTGTACCCCTTAAGCATACTAACATGAAAGACATTATGGATCTTGGACAAGTTTGGAGGTAGTGCCAATCTATAGGCCAGAGGGCCCACTCGCTCCAGCACTTCGTATGGCCCGATGTATCTAGGGCTCAACTTGCCCTTCTTGCCAAATCGCATAACTCCCTTCCATGGAGACACCTTCAAGAACACCTTGTCTCCTACTGCATGTGTTCTCTCCTCCCCTGGCATATCTGCATAGCTCTTCTGCCAATCCTGGGCGACTTTCATGTTCTCTCGTATCCACTTCACGTTGTCCATTGTATCCTGTACCAGATCTGGACCTTCTACCTGCCTCAATCCTTCCTCGTCCCAATACAAAGGAGGTCCACACTTCCTCCGTACAAAGCCTCATATGGTGCCACCTTCAAAGAACTTTGGTAATGATGGTTATAAGCAAACTCCAGTAGAGGGAGATACTTATCCCACGACCCTTTCATCTGCAAAGTGCAAGCTCTCAATAGATCCTCCAATGTCTGGATTGTCCTCTCAGTTTGCCCGTCAGTCTGCGGGTGATAGGCAGTAGAGAAGTGAACCTTGGTCCCCAAGGCCTTGTGTAGGCTCTTCCAAAACTGCCCAGTGAAATTAGGGTTCCTGTCTGACACAATGGTTAGAGGGACTCCATGTAGCCATACCACCTCTTGGATGTACAAATCTGCCAATGCATCCACTCCTGGCTTGAACTTGATGGGGATAAAGTGACTAAATTTGGTGAGGCGGTCTACGATCACCCAGACTCCTTCATTTCCCCACTCTGTCCTCGGCAACCCATAAATGAAGTCCATGGTGATGTGTTCCCACTTCCACTCTGGTACTTCAAGTGGCTTTAACTTCCCTGCTGGAGCCTGATGCTCTGCCTTCACCATCTGGCAGGTCAAACACTTGTGCCCATACTCAGCTGCCTCCTTCTTCATATTGGGCCACCAGAAATGATCATGTAAGGTTCGATACATCTTGATGGATCCTGGGTGCATGGAATAAAGTGCACAATGAGCTTCATCCAAAATATCCTGTCTTAAGTTCTCCACATTAGGTACACAAGCTCTACCCTCGAAGCGTAGCATCCCATCGACCACTTCGAAATTGGTATCCCTCCGATCTCGCGCCTCTTGAATGTACTTGGCTAGTAATGGATCATCTTTCTGCTTCTCCTTGATTCGATCATGCAACAATGGTCGAATCTTCAAATTTGTAGCATCCTCTAGTTGTAGCTCTGCATTCATAGCCCTGAGCGCTACAAGCTCCTGTAATGGGCTATGTTCCTTCCTGCTTAGTGCATTGGCTACGACATTGGTCTTTCCAGGGTGGTATTCAATGGTGCAATCATAGTCACCCAACAACTCCATCCATCTTCTCTGTCTCATATTCAATTCCTTTTGATCTCTTAGGTGTTTCAAACTCTTGTGATCCGTGAAGATCTTAAAAGTTTCACCATAGAGATAATGTCTCCACAACTTCAAAGAAAACACTACTGCTGCTAACTCCAGATCATGCATCGGATAGTTCACCTCGTGCGATCGTAATTGCCTTGAAGCATAAGCAATGACCTTATTCTGCATAAGAACACATCCCAACCCTTTGTATAAAGCATCGCTGTATATGACATATTCCCTCGCTTGATGGTAATGCCATTACTGGTGCAGTAGTAAGCTTCCTCTTAAGCTCCTCGAACGCTTCTTGGCACTCCTTACTCAATGTATAAGTCACTCACTTGCGCAGTAACTGGGTTAAAGGTCTAGCGATGCTGGAGAATCCCTCCACAAACCTTCTATAGTACCCAGCCATGCCTAGAAAGCTTCTTAACTCCGGGACGTTCTTAGTAGGGATGACAATAAAACCCGAACCCACGGGTACCCACCCGACCCAACCCGGTCAATGTGGGTAAAATCCTGTTGACGGGTTTTGGGTCGGGTTTGGGTTTAAACCCGTTCACTATTCACCGGGTTGGGTTTAGGTAAACCTGGCCCATGGGTACCCGCCCACACCCATATTAATTTTCTCGATATATTTAATATTCTAAACAACTAATCTTATTTATGTTTGTGGAGACATGTCTAATTTTTTCTTTCTAATTGTGTAAAATGAAGTTCATGTTATCGAGTGGAGAGTGAAGAAACTTAGTTAAAAGGAATAAACTTTCAATTAATCATGTTATTTATGGATAATTTGTGATTTGCTTCAATTTTCTTGAGTTTTCTATTGGTGTTGAACAATTTGTATAG